CGGGCAGACTGTACCGCCGCGCGCTGCCGGGCGGTGCGTGCAGCCTGTGCCGCTAGGCGCGCTGCTGCCTGTGGTTGCGGCGCAGCGTGTTGCCGGGTATCGTGTCCATAACATTACACCCCTCCTGGACAACCAGCTTGTCCTCAAGCTCGAGGTCGGGGTAGGCGTTGTGCAGGTCGGTCCAGGGAATCCAAGTGGCCTCCGCTGATGGTAGTCCGTCCCAGTCTACTAGAACCTCGAAAGTGCCCTGATTGATGCGTGACCGGACAAGAGCTCTAGGTTGGAGGATGGGTCTGTTGTCCTTGAGAGGGGGTAGAGGAGGCACTTGCGTGGGGGGAGTCCCTGTAAAAGGCTTTAGTAGGGACACATGGAAGACGTCATGAATTTTGATGTGCTCTGGCAGTTCAAGTTGATAGGCAACCTTCCCGATCTGTCGAAGAACCTTGAAGGGCCCGTAAAACCTTGGGGTCAGCTTTTGGGGGCCCCGTCGCCTAAGGGAGAGCTGTCGGTAGGGCTGGAGCTTTAGCCAAACGAATTGTCCTGGCTGGAAGGTGACCTCGCGGCGGTGCTGATCGTAGGCTATCTTCATGCGTGCCTGTGCCTGCTGTAAACGTAAGGAGACTTCAGCCAGTAGGGCATCGCGGTCTTGGAGGTTGCGGTCTACTTCTTCCAACCGTGTTGAACCTGGTTCGTAGGAGAGAAGACGAGGGGGGTCTCGCCCATACACCACGCGGAAGGGAGTCATGCCAAGGGACGAGTGGTAGGATGTGTTATAGCAGTATTCGGCCCAAGGAAGGCAGTCCACCCAGCGTCATGGTTGGTCCCCTACGAAGCAACGGAGGTACATTTCTATGGTGCGATTGACAACCTCTGTTTGCCCGTCCGTCTGTGGATGATAGGCGGAGGAAAAGGCTAGGGTCGTGCCCTGCAATCTGAATAGCTCCTTCCAGAAGGTGCTGGTGAAAACTGCATCCCTGTCACTGACGATGGACTCGGGCAGCCCATGTAGGCGGAAGATGTGTGTGAAAAAGGCGTGGGCCACAGAAACTGCACTGTAGGGGTGGGACAATGGAATGAAATGAGCATATTTGGAGAAGCGGTCCACCACTACGAATAAGATGGATTTCCCACCGACTTTAGGCAAGCCTTCAACGAAGTCCATAAAGATATCGGCCCAGATCTGCGTTGGGAGAGAAAGAGGCTGCAGGAGACCTGTTGGGTGTAAGTTCTCCCACTTTTGTTGCTGACATACGGAGCAGTTCTGGATGAAATCTCTAACCGAGCCTCGCATACCATGCCAATGAAAATCTGCACGGACATGGTGTAACGTCTTCTGAACCCCTTCATGGGTGGCATTGTGGATGCTAGCGAGGATAGCTGGAATCAAGGGACAATCTGCTGGGAGATATACCCTTCCTTTGTACAGCACAAGTCCCTCGTGGACGGTCCAGTTTGGTTTGGTCGTGCTAGACTGCAATTCTTGCACCAGGTCTCTCCATGTTGGTGATTGGGGCAACACGCTCCTTAGGTCCTCCAGTAGGGTCACGCGGGCCTGGGAGACCGCGCAAAGGTGTGTCGTGTCCTCTTCACGCATGGACAGCGCATCAGCGGCCCGGTTAGAGGCTCCCGCCTTGTGGTCTACGGGGAAGTCAAACCCTAGCAGTTTGCTTGCCCAGTGCTATTGGGGTGGGGTAGTAAGCCGCAGCTCTAGAAGGTATTTGAGGTTGTAGTGATCTGTCTTGACAACGAAGGGCTGCCCCACAAATACGGCCTCCAGTTCTGGACAGCCTTGGCCAGCCCGATCAATTCGCGCTCGTAGGCCGGTAGCTTGAGGTGCCGATCTGCTAGTTTGCGACTGAAGAAGGCTATGGGGTGCTCTTGCTGTTGCAGTACTGCGCCGATGCCTATGCCAGACGCATCACACTCCACCGTAAATTCTTGGTCAAAGTTTGGTAGTTGCAGCACGGGGGTAGTGGAGAGTGCGTCCCTTAGGTTTGTGAAGGCGGTGTTAGCTGCCTCATCCCATTGAAATGCATTCTTCTTCAACATCTTGGTTAATG